AATGCTCAATACGACCAGTGAGGTCGTGTCATGACCCGAATTTCCCACCATCGGGAGTCGTGATGGCGCCTACTAACGGAGCTTGGCAAGCCAACTTAATTAAAAAACTCCTTAAACACATGTTCCTTTTTAACAATTAACGGCATTAAATGAAGGTGACGGAATTAAAATCATAAGCGGAAGACTTAAATGTAGATAGATGATCAATAATATAGAAGTTCCAACACATATATCTCTACCCCGGGACTGGAGTCACATACTCACGAACATCTAAGGAGTACTACATACAAAGTCTGAAAGAAACATAATCTGTTTATCTCGGGTACAATGAGATGACAGCCAAATGTAAAGATAGAAGGGAGACGCCGGGCCTGCGAACGCCTGCAAGCTACCTCGGGTCTCTCTGGACTGAAGGTTCGCCCCCGTGCTAATGCTGCTGCTGCTGCTCAATACCTGGACCTGTGCAAAAATGCACAGAGTGTAGCATCAGCACAACCAACCCCATGTGCTGGTAAGTGCCTAGCCTAACCCCGGCGATGTAGTGACGAGGCTAGATTAGACCTCACATAACCCTGTGCAATTATAAATATACAGCAGAAATCGAAGTACAAGGCAACTATAGTATGGGAGGGGAAACATGCTGTGGGGAGATAACAGTACTAACAGTAAATCCAAAGTAATCAATCTAGGTGCAATTTAAAATTTAAGGCGAACAAGAAACTAATACCAACACTAAACACATTTGCATCAATAACTGTTGCGGCACGCAACCCGACCCTAATACATTTCAACACTGTTGCGGCGTGCAACCCGATCCATAATTATCACTGTTGCGACGTGCAACCCGATCCATAATTTATCACTGTTGCGGCGTGCAACCCGATCCTCATATAACATTGTTGCGGCGTGCAACCCGATCCATAATTATCACTGTTGCGGCGTGCAACCCGATCCACAATTATCACTGCTGCGATGTGCAACCCGATCCATAATGCCTACCTCTCAACCTTGCCCAAACAACAGTCACAAATAAAGGGCAAAGGTGTGAACAATGTAATTGGAAGGAAATCCCCACAAGGGTACACAAACAACCAATAATAACCATGCAAGAGTAAATCGTTATTTCTCTTTTTCTTTCATTTCTTATCCTAGTTCTCATTAGCACTCGTGTCAAGCTCTAAGGCATTTCTCATTTCATATGCTCTCACCATTTGTATTTCAGACCGAGTCAATGCCCCACGAAGTTCCACAATCACAATATCTTTCACAAGGTGTTTACAATGCATAGAAGCCATCAATAAAGCATGGAAGGCATAAAAATATCCAAACAATCCTTATATAAGGACTCACGGTCATGCTAGACCCCAATGTATAGGAACTCGTCACCATGCCTATACATCGTACTCGATCATTTAGCAATTAGCAAACAAGACTCGACTCCTATTCCCTCAAGCTAGGGTTAAACCAAACACTTACCTCAACTTCCACGGCCAACACAATCCTCCACGATCGCTTTCCCTCTCGAATTTGGCTCCAACTCAACCAAATCTATGCAATAAGGACTTCATGATATCAATATGTGCTAAACAAATCAAACCCAATGACTAATTATAGCTTTTTCATCAATTTACCCCAAAAGGTCAAAAATGCCCCCGGGCCCACATGGTCAAAACCCGAGGTTCGAATCAAAACCCATTTACCCATTCCCCTATGAACTCAAATATGTAAGTTATTTTGGAATCGGACCCCGAATTGAGGTCCAAAACCCCCAAATTTTTGAAAACCTAGGTTCTACCCTAAATTCCCAATTTCCCCATTAAAATATTTGTTTTAAAGTTTGAAATTATGCTTAAGGATGTTAAGGAGTAAAGAAAATCAGTTAGAAAACACTTACCAATCGTTGTGAAGAAGTAGAATCGTTTGGAAAATCGCCTCTTATGTTTTGGGTTTTGAAAAAGTAAAAAAATGACTGAAAATCCCGACTTTATATACTGTACTGAAGACTGGCGCGGACCGCACAAAAATGCACCGCGGCCGCACCGAGGAAGGGAAGATAAATGACTCTCTGAACCTACCCAGCGCGGACCGCACTGATTTGGTGCGCGGCCGCGCTGGTTGAATGGACCCAAGACCCACTCTCTGAATCTCCCAGCGCGGACCGCACTGATTTGGTGCGCGGCCGCGCTGGTCGACCTAGAATTCACTGGCCCTCTGAACCTAGCCACGCGGACCGCGCGGAAATGACCGCGGCCGCGCTGGGGGCCTGCAACCCCTGAACCTGCAACCATCTGCTATTTTTAAGCCTAAGACCCTCCCGGGACCTACTCAAAACTCACCCGAGCCCTCGGGGCTCCAAACCGAACATACATTTAAACTCAAAAACATTCTACGGACTCATCCGTGCGATCAAATCGCCAAAACAACATCGAATTAGGCCTCAAGACCCATGATTCCTTCCAATTTCCATGAAACATCAAATTTACTGCTTCTAGCTCAAAACACGTCAAATGACGTCCAAATCTAACCAAACTTCAGAGCAATTGCTTAACTCATATTTAAGAATTGTGCCGGGCGTCGGAACCAAAATATGAGCCCAAGCAACACAGTCTTCTAAACAAGTAACACTTTCCAATTTTTTAATTATTTTCAGAAAACAATTTCACGTAAAAATTCATTCCTCGGACTCGGGACCTCGGAATTTGATTCCGGGCACACTCCCAAGTCTCATATTTTCCTACGGACCCTCCGGAACTGTCGAATCACGAGTCCAGGTCCGTTTGCCCAAAACGTTGACCGAAGTCAAACTTAATCAATCAAATACCAAGATTTAACAATTTTTCTCACAATTTCATATTTAAACTTTCCGGCTATGCGCCCGGACTGCGCACACAAACTCGAGGCAACCCCCAAGTGAGGTTTTCACGGCCTCAGAAATACAGAGCGAGTAGGAATACAGGTGATGGCCCTTTGGGTCGTCACATTCTCCACCTCTAGAACAACCGTTCGTCCTCGAACGGACAAGAGAAAGAAGTACCTGAGTCGGGGAAAAGATGGGGATAACGGCTCCGCATATCAGACTCGGACTCCCAGGTCGATGCCTCAGGAGGCTGACCTCTCCACTAAACACGGACAGAAGGAAAACTCTTGGATCTCAACTGACGTATCTGCCGGTCCAGAATAGCTACCGACTCCTCCTCATAGGATAAGTCCTCGTCCAACTGGACAGTACTGAAATCTAACACGTGGGTAGGATCGCCGTGATACTTCCGAAGCATGGATACATGGAAAACTGGATACACGGCTGATAAGCTGGGCGGCAACGCAAGTCTATAAGCCACCTCTCCCACTCGATCAAGAATCTCAAACGGGCCAATGTACCTAGGGCTAAGCTTTCCCTTCTTCCCAAATCTCATCACGCCATTCATAGGCGACACTCGGAGCAATACCCGCTCACCAACCATGAAAGCTACATCTCGAACCTTACGGTCTGCATAACTCTTCTGCCTAGACTGAGCTGAACGAAGCCTCTCCTGAATGATCTTGACCTTGTCCAAGGCCTCCTGAACCAAATCCGTTCCTATCAATCGAGCCTCTCCCGGCTCAAACCATCCAACCGGAGACCGACGTCGCCTACCATATAAAGCCTCATAAGGAGCCATCTGGATGCTCGACTGGTAGCTGTTGTTGTAAGCAAACTCCGCCAAAGGCAAGAACTGATCCCACGAACCTCCAAAATCAATAACACAAGCTCGGAGCATATCCTCCAAAATCTGAATAGTCCGCTCGGACTGACCATCCGTCTGGGGATGAAATATTGTGCTCAAGTCAACCCTTGTGCCCAACTCTCGCTGAACTGCTCTCCAGAAGCGTGAGGTAAACTGCGTACCCCGATCCAAAATGATAGTCACGGGCACACCATGAAGGCGAACAATCTCCCGAATATAGATCTCAGCGAACCTCTCAGAAGAATAGGAGACTGCCACAGGAATGAAATGCGCTGACTTGGTCAGCCTATCAACAATAACCCATATCGCATCAAACTTCTTCCGGGTCAACGGAAGTCCAGTAACAAAGTCCATAGTAATCCGCTCCCATTTCCACTCGGTAAGCTCAATCCTCTGATGTAAACCACCAGGCCTCTGATGCTCGTACTTAACCTGCTGACAATTCAAACAACGAGCCATATATGTTACGATATCCCTCTTCATCCTAAGCCACCAATAATGCTGCCGCAAGTCCTAATACATCTTCACGGCGCCCGGGTGGATGGAGTACCTGGAGCTATGGGCTTCCTCTAAAATCAACTCTCGGATCCCATCGACATTGGGCACTCAAACTCGCCCCTATAATCTCAAAACACCATCTTCATCTAAGATAACCTGCTTGCCACCTCCTTGCTGCACCGTGTCTCTAAGGACACATAAATGGGGATCATCAAACTGCCGATCACGGATATGCTCCAATAACGAAGAACGAGCAATCGTGCAAGCTAACACACGACTGGGCTCAGAAACATCCAGTCTCACGAATTGATTGGCTAAAGCCTGAACGTCCAAAGAAAGCGGCCTCTGACTGACTGGAATATAAGCAAGACTGCCCATACTGGCTGACTTCCTACTCAAAGCGTCGGCCACCACATTGGCCTTCCCCGGATGATATAAAATAGTGACATCATAATCCTTCAACAACTCCAACCACCTCCTCTGCCTCAAATTCAACTTCTTCTGCTTGAACAAGTACTGAAGACTCTTGTGGTCAGTGAACACCTCACATGCCACGCCATACAAATAGTGCCACTAAATCTTCAAGGCGTGGACAATAGCCGCCAACTCTAAATCATGCACTGGATAGTTTTTCTCATGAATCTTCAACTGCCTCGAAGCATAGGCTATAACTTTGGCATCCTGCATCAATACTGCACCAAGTCCAATACGGGAAGCATCACAATAGACGGTATAAGGCCCAGATCCTGTGGGCAAGACCAACACTGGTGCCGTAGTCAGGGCTGTCTTGAGCTTCTGAAAGCTCGCCTCACACTCCTCCGACCATCTGAACTGGGCACCCTTCTGGGTCAACCTGGTCATCGGGGCTGCAATAGATGAAAACCCCTCCACAAACCGACGGTAGTAGCCTGCTAACCCCAAGAAACTCTGAATCTCCGTCACTGATGCTGGTCTAGGCCAGTTCTTGACTGCCTCTATCTTCTTCGGGTCCACCTGAATACCCTTAGCTGATACAACGTGACCCAGGAATGCTACTGAACTCAGCCAGAACTCACACTTGGAGAACTTGGCATATAACTGACTATCCCTCAGAGTCTGAAGAACCACTCTAAGGTGTTGCTCGTGCTCCTCCTGGCTGCGGGAGTACACCAAAATATCATCAATAAAGACTATCACGAACATGTTCAAATATGGCCTGAACACTCGGTTCATCAACTCCATGAATGCTGCTGGGGCGTTGGTCAACCCAAACGACATGACCAAGAACTCGTAATGCCCGTACCGAGTACGAAAAGCTGTCTTAGGGACATCGGATGCCCTAATCCTCAACTGGTGGTAGCCAGATCTCAAGTCAATCTTGGAAAATACCCTGGCACCCTGAAGCTGGTCGAACAAATCACCAATCCACGGCAGTGGATACTTATTCTTAATTGTTACCTTGTTCAATTGCCGGTAATCTATACACATCCGCATCGACCCATCCTTCTTCTTGACGAATAACACTGGCGCGCCCCAAGGCGAAACACTGGGTCTAATGAAACCCTTATCTAACAGATCCTTCAATTGGTCCTTTAACTCCTTCAGCTCCGGCGGGGCCATACGATATGGCGGAATAGAAATGGGCTGGGTGCCTGGAGCCAAATCAATACAGAAATCGATATCTCTATCGGGTGGCATACCCGGCAGGTCCGAAGGAAAAACATCGGGAAACTCCCGGACAATAGGCACAGAATCTATATGAGGGACCTCAGCACTGGAATCACGAACATAGGCCAAATAGGCCAGACACCCCTTCTCGACCATACGTCGAGCCTTCACGTACGATATGACACTACGGGTAGAATGACCTGGAGTCCCCCTCCACTCTAAACGAGGCATACCCGGTAAGGCTAAAGTCAAGGTCTTGGCATGGCAGTCTAAGATGGCGTGATCGGGTGATAACCAATCCATACCCAGAATGATATCAAAGTCAACCATATCTAAGAGCAACAAGTCTACACGGGTCTCAAGACCCCCAATCACTACAACACACGAACGATGGACTCGGTCGACCACGATAGAGTCACCCACAGGTGTAGACACATATACCAGAATACCCAAGGCATCACTAGGCATGACCAAGCATGGTGCGAAATAAGATGAAACATATGAATACGTAGATCCTGGATCAAATAGTACTGAAGCATCTCGATCACAAACCAGAATCGTACCTGTAATCACCGCATCTGAGGCCTCTGCCTCGGGCCTAGCCTGGAGTGCATAGCAACGGGGCTGGGCCCCACCACCCTGAACTGTATCCCTAGGTCGATCTGTTGCTAGCTGACCTCCGCCCCTGGCGGTCTGAGCTCCACCTCTATGGCCTCTACCTCCACCTCTAGCTGGCTGTGGAGCATCCGGTGCCTGAATCATAAGACGGGGACCCTGCTGCTGCGACTGAGTACCTCTCAATCTCGGGCAAGCTCTCCTGATGTGACCAAACTCACCACACTCATAACACCCCTCTGGACGCTGTGGCTGGCCCTGGCGACCTGAATGACCTCCACGGAAACTCTGAAGTGGCGGTGCACTGATGGGAGCTGACGGTACACTGAGGGTCTGCTGATCAGAATAATGCACACGGTAACCACGATCACCTGGGGCACCCTGAGAAACCTGGAGGGCTGACTGGAAAGGCCTGGAGGGCTGACCCCTATCATAAGAATCCCTGCCTCCGGATGAGGCACCACTGAAACGACCTGAGTGACGAGGTCTCTTGTCTGCTCTATGGCTACCCCCCTGTGCCAGAACCATCTCAACTCGGCGGGCCACATTGGCCGCCTCCTGAAAGCTGATCTCACTACCAGTCTCCCTAGACATCTGGAGAACGAATCGGCTGAATCAAAACCATCAATAAATCTCCTCACCCTCTCCCTCTCAGTGGGGAGTATGACAAGAGCATGGCGAGCTAGATCGATAAACCGGGTCTCATACTGAGTGACTGTCATAGAGCCTTGCTGGAGACGCTCGAACTTCCTGCGAAGAGCCTCTCACTGAGTAACTGGGAGAAACTTCTCCAAAAACAACTCTGCAAACTGATCCCATGTCAATGCTGGCGGCCCCGCTGGTCTGGCTAAACAGAAATCCCTCCACCAAGTCTTGGCGGATCCTGCTAGACGAAAAGTGGCGAAGTCGACCCCATTGGTCTCCACAATACCCATAGTCCAAAGAACCTCATGGCAGCTATACAAGAAATCTTGGGGGTCCTCTGAAGAAGCACCGCTGAATGTGGTGGTGAAGAGCTTGGTGAACCTATCCAGTCTCCACAAAGCATCTGCGGACATAGCCGCTCCATCACCGGTCTGAGTCACAATACCCGGCTGAGCTGCCACAGCTGGCTGAACCACTGGAACCTGAGCCTGGGGAGCTACCTGCTCCGGAGTACGTGTAGCAGGAGTCTGAACTCCTCTTCCAGCCTGAGAAGTGGCTGGTGCTACTGGAAACAAACCCGCTCTAGTGACGCTCTCCACAAAGCCTACCAATATGACCAAAGCGTCCTGAAGAACTGGGGTGGATATAAACCCCTCTGGGACCTGAGCTGGGCCCACTGGCGCTGCTGGGACTGGGGCCGGAACCTCCTCGTCAAAACCAACCTGAGGCTCCGCCGCTGGTGCTGCTGCTCGGGGCTAAGCTCTGCCCCTACCTCGGCCTCTAGCACGGCCTCGTCCTCTGCCCCTAGCGGGAGCTGCCTGGGGCTCGGACTGCTGGTCTGAAGATGAGGAAGCGCGTGTTCTCGCCATTCTGCGAGGAAACAGAGTAGAAGTTCAATCAGCATTGAGAAACCAAACCGCACGACAAGAAAGAACAAAGGAGAGATTTTTCCTAACTTGGCAGCCTCTGGGGGATAAGTACAGACGTCTCCGTACCGATCCCTCAGACTCTACTAAGCTTGTCTGTGAGTTGTGAGACCTATGTAACCTAGAGCTCTGATACCAATTTATCACGACTCCTGATGGTGGGAAATCCAGGTCGTTACATTCTCCCCCACTTAAACATACGTTCGTCCTCGAACGTGCCCACAGTCGTTCCAAAGCCATGAAACCGCCGTGTAACCTTAGCATGTACATACCTAGGGTGATCCTACAACACCCTATTCTATATAGGCCCGACAGCACAACATAACTGAGGATCATTACTTCAACCTTAGCCCGTAAACCACTGAATCCAATTTCCAACATCCGGTATTTCCTACAAAACCTGAACCTCACGTCTACACACTGTACAAATCTGAACAAGTTGTATCAGGCCATAACCATAACCCAAGATGTAATCACATGACACACCACATGACTCGCATACTCGTAGCAATATTTCCAATCACGGTAGCTTCTCAAAACAACCCAATACCAGTAATAAACCTCATATCAAACAAAGCCTCGTTCTAAAACCTACATACACTGCCGATAATGAAAGAAACACGCAAAAACTCATAACCATTCATCAGATCAACAAGACATGGAACTCCCCCTCATTCGACAAGAATTATTGCCAATTTCTAAGCCTACTTCTGATATTATCCTTCCAAATATACCGCAATCAGATCCGATAGCACCCAATCTAGGTCCAACAACCTCATATTATCAAATACAGCTGCTTTACTGACATGCCACACAAATACAACCTTAAGACACAAACCGTGCAATTTGTGCACCAATACGTGGCAATTCAAATATACTCAAACATAGAAAATGACTCAAATGAGAGAACCATCCCGCAAGCTCAACAAGTACCACCACAACACAATGCTAAGAACCCATGGCACACCGTAGAACCAAAACACACGAATCTAACACAAAGGATCATATCCCAACATAACTTCGCTGCAATGCGTGGCCCCATCCAAACACTTGTCCAAATGAAATACCTCAAGTCACAATGCTCAAAATCAACAACCATACGCAATTTGAAGCCTATTACCAAAAGTGCATAACCATAACCATTAAGAAGAAAACAACACCATACATCATAACGGACAAAGACCATAACAAAGGCGCAATCAACCATTCCGCACCCCGATAATCATTCCGCTCAAATTCTGCTATAAGGCCCAACAGAACTGCACCATATATGCATATAACCAACAAATCACAACCACTCGTAGTATAGAGGAGTAACACAGATCATATCAGAACACTAATAACCTCAACTCTAACCGAATGGCACACCCCTCACCAATAGCAGTACAAAGTCAACCAATCTGACCCAATGTAGAATACACATCCTCATTGGGCGTACCAATGGGTCCCAAATCAACTCTGGTCATCCACAAATAGATAATTAACCCTCTGAAAATCCACAATGACCTAACCATAACGCATACCATCATCTGGCTAGTTTTGGCCATATTTTCACAGTCCACAACCATGGAACAATCTGCTTCTGAGAACTCCCGATCTCCAAATCTATTGAACACACGAATCACCAAATTTGATCCCAACTCCACCGCCCAAATGTCTAACACATCTCTCATACACGATCATCCCACGAGGAATACTTCGATAATTCTTTAGTGCCACATAGCAAAATCTGAATATCAGCAGTCGATCAACCAGGCGAGCAGTGGAAAACCAATGCAGCATCCGTGAGTCAAAACTCAGTGCGCCTGCTGAGATAGGCACCTTTCTCAAGCAATAACAAGTAGCAATAACATTAATCTAGTCATCTAATACCATCCATGTTGCCTAAGAACTCATGATCTTCCCTTCAAAACTAAATCGTGACCTTGCACACACAAATCTCAATCCCACACAACACACCGTATCTATCATACCATCATATGAAAAGTACGAAAATCTCATAATCAACTCTGAGTTACAAGAAGAATAAATACTCAATAAGTCAAAAACCTTCCATTTGATGTCATCCAAGAGAAAATCACAATATGCAACATGCTTATCACGCCGGTAGGAATTATCCTTCTCAAACCGTGGTAGAAACCATCGAGAACTCTTCGAAACCCATTTTCACCCAACCAAGCCATTAGAACTGAATCGCTCTAACTCAACTAAGCCACGCTGGTCGCCAAACCCAAGAGTATTTCCAAAAATCATCCATAGAGACTCACCACATCATAAGAACCAAAAGGACCAAGCATACCATTACCATACGGATCGAACGTACTGCCAAGTTGTCCTATTTCCTCTGAGTTTCTTCTGAATTGCCTTCAAATTGAAACTTCTCCTTGCCAGAACACCAAGATCTTGACCCAAAACTCACCACAAGAGACCCTAGCATAAAACCACATCGCCCTAAGGCCCACAAGCCGACGTATTCCTTCTTAAGAATCCCAAAAATACCGCAACCGAGACTCCTACTCTGAAGAGACCTTCAGTGAACCTAAAGTTGTTTCCTTCACCTTCCTGATACGAAAATATAGGATCCATAATGATATAGGAATACCGCGAATCTCGACACCATCCAATGTACATCTCAGATCCTAGCCATATACAAATCTTGAAAATTACCGCCACATATAAATCTTGAATCCATTAGAACCTTCTCGAGAGTCATCAACTCTGCTCAAATCTCAATTGCACCGCCCAAACGGGCCGAACGACCTAATCTTAATTAGCACAACACCCCAAAGAAGTGACCCCGCCTTAACGCAACTCAGCAAATTCCTACACCATGCGCACTAATTCCGTCACGAATAACAACTCGAATCATTCCATGATTTCCATATACCCATAAATTGTAACATAACCCGTATCAAGAAATTACTTTACTCGAGTCACCCTTGATCTTAATCTCTGCAAGTCATAACTGATTCACAAGTATGCCTAAAACCGAAACTAGTGCAACACATAACCACACAACCAAACCGTCGATAGCACACTCTCCCACTTGGCTCAAATCCATAGAACAAAAGCACTCGATAACTTATTATACTCATACACTATTACTGCCATAATCCTGCACTGAAGTTCAACTCAATCCTTTATAAGCTCGTGCAACACAAGCCATCTGACACTTCAAATTATCTGCAAATCTCGCATCCATCCTTGTAACAATCAAGCCAACTTCCTCAAGCGATTCAAACTCAAATTGCAACACATATAATCCACTGGTAAAAGACAACTCTCCACAAAATAACATAGGGAATAACACAACCTTAGGACACCCTGCAAGAGATAACCCACTTGCTCAGCCCTAAACTGGCAGCCCTTACATCCTGCCATGGCCATAACCACTAAGCATTCACTACATCTTCCCGATTCTAAGCTCGTCAACAGAACATAAGAATTTACTTCACCCCACGAATGGACAACAACAAAAATCTTTCAACACACTCATAACTTGAGACTATACATCACATCAATACAACAACCAAGCACCCAATAGTCATAATAACTATTCTCGTCATAATCAAACCATCTGAACACATCCCGTAGTCCCATCATACTCATCATATAGACATCCAGCCACTCATCGAGCTACGAATTCCACTATAGGGACACTACCAGACGTATAAGTCTAAAAGCATGTGCTCACACAGCTGAAATCCCGTGCTCAAGCTACAGTCAAAATCCGGCCTCAAGTCCTCCAGACTCGCCCATAATCAGCACATAGAAATCACATCCTGCACCTCATCCATGGAATCACAAGCCGCCGATGCACAGCTGATACCGAGCGCTCACATGCGCATACGAATGCGTGGAAGGAATTCACAAAGTTATGCTTTAAGCTAAATCAATGTCACATGATAAAGAAAGAAAGATGGGAAATTTACCCTAAATGCCATGTAGCCTCTCGAAGATAGGTATGGACGTTATCATATCGATCCGCAAGACTCTACTAGACACTGCTCATGACTTGTAGAAACTATGAACCTAGGTCTCTGATACCATCTTGTCATGACCCAAACTCCAAACTATCATGATGACACCTAACCCAACATGCTAGGTAAGCCAATTAACTATAAAACACGATATAATAATACTGATGTGAGTCAAAGATGAGAAAACTGATTTTTTTTATACAACTCCCAAGGACTAGTAGTACAAATCATGAGCTTCTAAGATATAGAGTTTATACGGCTGGTTTAAAATAAAATACACCATCTATTTGAAGTATACATGAACAGATCTGAAATACTTAAGCTACCAAGATCAAGAGGCAGCAATGACTGGAACGTAGACACATTTTCAGATCCAGATCCCGTCATACGCAGGTACATTAGCATCCAACATCTACACACAAGGTATAGAAGTGTAGTTTGAGTACGACCGACCCCATGCACTCAATAAGTAATAAACCTAACCTTAGGTTATAAGTAGTGACGAGCTTGGACAAGGGTCAGAGTCCAACTCCAATAACCAGCAACAGTTCATAACAATATAATAAATAGGGTACAAGAAATGATTCAGCTCGTTCATATTTACAGAAATATGAATGCTTTTCAAGTATACAGTAGATCCCAAATCCTTCACCAAAAACCCCAAAAATATGTAAGTAAGTTGAAAACCGTGATTTTTCCCAAAAACCTTTCAACAATAAGTAAGATGTTTCATTTTCAGATAGCATGAGAAAAATACATCTCTATGCCTACGTGTCAATATATAGGTGAAATCACGAATGTCACCAAAACCATGTAGCAGGAGGAAATACATCTCTATGCATGTATCTCAAGTACGCATGTCAAATGTATTGTAACTCAGTGATGAACTCATGTACTCACACTCTCAGAGTACTCAATCTCACAGCCTCACACTTTCCAGTTATCACTCTCAATCACTCGACACACTTAGTCAGTCAGTAATTTACAGGGCATATCCAACCCAAACATAATAACTACTAGCAACTGCGCTCATTGGGGTGTATAGACTATAGAGGAGCTCCTTCAGCCCAAGTGTTATAATCCTCATGAACAACTCACGTGTTGCATGGTAACTCACGTGCTATAGTATCAATATCAGGATCCGCACGGACAACTTACGTGATGCACGTACACCTCACGTGCTATAGTATCAATATCGGGATCCGCACGGACATCCCACTTGCTGTAAGGACAACTCACGTGCTATAGTATCAATAACCTCACAATTAGGCCCTCGGCCTCACTCAGTCATCAACCTCTCCAGTCTCTCGTGCTCAAAACACTCATACAAAGCAGCTCAAGCCAATGATCGAGATTTGATAATATACAATAACGGAGACTGAGATATGATATGTAATGATGAATACAACTGAGTACATAACTACAATTAAACAAATAACTCAATAGCAAGGAACGACCATCATGGGTCCCAATAGTGCCAACATATAGCTTAAACATGATTTCTAGCATAAATTACAGCTCAAGTGTTCTAACACATAGAATACAGTAAAAAATGTTCAGATAAGGTAGCTACACATTTCCATGGAATCGACTATGTCACAGTTACTATGGTGGACGCCCACACGCGCGTCAACTTGCATGCGTGTCACCTCAAAATCAATCACATAACACGTAATTCGGAGTTTCATACCCTCAGCACCAAGTTTAGAAGTGTTACTTACCTTGAACAAGCCAAATCTAATGCCGAGCAAGCCGAACGATACTCCAAGAATGCCATCTCGCATTTACAGACCTCCGAACGTCTTGAAACTAGCCAAAATCAACTCAAGAATATCAAATAAATCCTAAGGAAACAAATTTCAAATGATAAAGGTCGAATCCTTAATCAAAAGCCCAAAATTGGCCAAAAAGGTCAAACCCGGGCTTGCGCCTCGGGACCCGATGAAACTTATAAAATCCGACCACCCATTCAATTACGAGTCCAATCATACTAGTTTCACTCATATACGACTCCGAATCAATGTTCAAAACTCAAAAATTTCCTCTTTAAAATTCATCAACCAAATTGCTAAAAATGGAGATAGATTCGCGAAATACCGAGTGTAGAACACTTACACCAAACCAGCTGAAGAAAATTGCTTCAACACTCGCCTCAATCCAAGCCCCAATCTCAAAATATGATAAAAAAACCGAAAACCTCGATTTAATAATGTTTTCCCCAGACCTTAAGGCATCTGCAATAAATAAGCCGCTTCTGCGGCGTCTCTTTTGCGACAAGACATCCGCTTATGAGGAAATACACTAAGCACAGACACCTCGCACCTACAGGACCATATTCCGCTTCTGCGACATCGTAGGTGCGAATCTTGTTCCGCTCCTGCACCAAATACCGCTTCTGCCCCACAGGCCATCGCTTCTGCGAGGCCAAAGATGCGCCCTAAGCTCCGCATCTGCGATGACTCCAAACTCAGACACTTTCTGCAGGTGCGATCACATTTCCGCTTCTGCGGCCACCTCACCTACACGAAACTAAACGCAGGTGCGCAACACCAGAACCAACACTTCTTCAGCAATGCAACATGAGATAAAATGATCCGAACCGTGTCCTAGACTTACCCCGGGCTCCACGGTACCCCTCCCGAATATACCAACAAGTCCTAAAACATAACACAGACCTACTCGAGGCCTCAAATCACACATAACAATACGAATCACACCTCAAATCTAACTTAGATGAACTTTGAACTTCCGACTTCTAAAACTCGCGCTGAAACATATCAAATCAACCCAGAATAAGCTCAAATTTTGCACACAAGTCTTAAATGACATAAAGAAGCTATTACAATTCGCGAAACCAAAATCCGAATCCGATATCCTCAAAATCAACTCTCGGTCAAACTTATGAACTTTCCAAACCTTCAAATTTCCAACTTTCGCCAATTAGCGCTAAATTCTTCTAGAAATATGCAAATGTAAATCCGGTCATACGCCCAATTCCAAAATCGCCATCCGGAACTAACGGAACCCTCAAAACTACGTTCTGGGGTCAAATTTACAAAAGTCAAACTTGGTCAATTCTTCCAATTTAAAGCTTCAATCATGAAATTCGTTCTTCCAAATTGATTCGGATTAACCTAAAATCCAAAACCGAAGATTCACATAAGTTATAATACATCATACGGAGCTACTCATTCCCTCAAGCTACCGAGCAAAATGTAAATGCTCAAAATGATCGGTCGGGTCATTATACTAGTCTTTCCAAGATTAGGCTATTTCTAGTACTTCTAAGGTTTGACCAGGTGAATCTTGGGCCCGTAAACCCCAAAATAGACCATGTTAATATTTTGGAGACAAGTTAGTAGGTTATTTGCTCTATTGTTTTTAACAAGGTTTCCCCCGAATTTATCCGCGGCAGAAGTAATTTCATTAAAATCCCCACACAGGACCCAGGGCAGTGTATGTGTTACAAAAATCTGTTCTAGATTATCCCATAGTATTTTCTATTATTAAAACAACTACTTTCGTAAACAAGAGACATTATCTAGGGTGGGCTAGTGGGACCTACCTAAACATTTGTATGGATTTCTTGATTGGTAACTGCAATGGAGTCCACCTGGGCCACTTCATAATCCTTCCACAACATAATCAGCACACCTGAATAGACTAATACATCAATGTGTAGCATATTGGTAAGCCCTAGCTCCAACATTAGTGCTTTGTGTGCTTCTTTCTTCATTATTGTCTCAGTAAGACAGACCATATTGGGATTATTCCAAGAGAAGACTGCTCTGAGATTCCTTCTAAACTCAGCAGCATTTTCTCCCCTACAGTTCCATAACAGTATCTTCTTTAAGGGTATGTTTTGTATTGACCTCTCTTGTTGATTCCTCGTAGGGTTCAGAGTAAGAGATAGTTGTTGGTAGTTGTTATGTTCTTGTAGGGGGGCTTGCTACCTCATGTTGGAACCATCACAATGGAGTAAGATAAGGGGTCGATGGGGTAGATCTTTATGTTAATGCCCATATTTGTGACCAATGGAGGAATACTGATAAGGAATTTTCTTTCGGAGTTTTGGGGCAGGGTGAGTGTCAGAGGCTCCATTATTGTGATATTCTAGGGAACTTGATATAGGATGCTTGCCTGAGATGGACCAATGTCTTTTGTCCCTAGTGGTGGTGGTGGTGGTGAAGTTTCCAAGCGCTATAGCTCCTCCAATAGGAACTATGGCAAGAGTGGTACAACTTGTTCTTCCTCCTGTGGTTCTGGTGAAGCGTGCTGGGGTGCCATAGTTGGTGATGAGCTCCATGAGTTGGGTGGTGGGGGTGTATTCCATCGCGGAGGCTGCCTGTTGTTTGTTGTGTGGTTATTGCTGCTTGCATGTCCAAGATCTGATTGTTGAGCTCCAATGCTATGATTTCTTGGACTTACAGTAGGTTGTGTGCATGCTGCATCCTCATGTTTGAGTGAAGTACTTGGGAGACATAGTGTGATAGAGTGGTCGTGTTCTCCATTAACAGAGTTACTTGTTGCACCATGAAATCGAAATTCTAGTGCCTTGGTAGTTGTTGCGGTTGTGCTTCCTCCTGTTGTTTTGGTGGTGGGGTTTGGATTTCTTGATGGTAGTACTGTTGGTGGTGTAGTTGGAGGTTGTTTTCGTAGGCTAGAGGGAACTGGTAAGGACTATATTATCCGTTCGAAAGGTAGTTGTAACCTATCTGAGGGAATGTGGTTTGGAGGTAGAAGGTTTGAGTGAATGAGTGTATTTGAGTGTCCGTTGTACGAGGTAGATGATGATATGGGAAGGGGGTTGTTGGTAGCGCGCATTGTTGCTCAGATGTCTCCTGCTTGGTTCCCCGTAGCTCCGACGTGTGTTGTTTCGTAGAGGTGATCGAGGCATTTTTCATTTGCGTTGTGTGAGATTGTTCTGCGTTTGGTGATGGTGTTGTTTGGATTGGGGTGTTAGTGGTTTTAATAGGTTGATTCTAACTATAGAAGGCTTGGTTAGGTAGTGGCATGGATTCATCATGTTGATTTGGGGTGATGGGATTTGACCCACCGGCACTGGTGCATTCTGAGGAGAGGGGTAATGTTGGTTTTGAAGTACCTGCAGTGCATTTAACGCACTGTTACAGGTGATCATACCTACTCTAGGGGGGAGGGGTACAATAGGTAAAATTGAGGGTGTTATAGATTGGTTATATATACCCCAGTTGGATATATTTGAATGAGTTTCTTCAGTTATGCGGTGTGGGCCTTGTTGCCTTTTTTAGGCTGAAATACTTGATGGACCAGTTGTTTCCGTGGGAATAATTTTTTGGTCATTTATTTCAGGTGATTTAGTAGTAGGGGGATATTTGGAAGATATTTGGTGGAATGATTGTTTGTGGTGGAAAGGTTATTTTTATATTGTAGGGGCGCATAACGATTAGATTGTTTATAGGGGTGTAAGTGGGGGGAGGGGGGGGAGGGAAGTAGGCATTACTTGATTTAGTGTTGTCATAGGTGTGATGTAGGGTGTTGTCAGTTTGTGTATTTGATAGTATACACAAGGGATTGTGCGTGTGTATAAAGATGTAGAGGGCTTTTTGTTAGTATTTTTCCCACTGTGTTTGGGTGTTTCGTCACTTGCCACGTCATGTGATGACGTGGATCCACTGTGTGCAAGTGTAAATTTTATCTTTGTTTGTGGTTGAGTAGGCTCCACTTGATGGGTGGGATTAGGGTTACGTGGCTTTTTCATGGTGTCAGTATTTGTGTGAGAATTGCGTGTACTGTGCATTTTTTAAGTTTTGGGTACTGTAGATTTTATGTCTACTCCAGTGCTTCCTTGTGTTCCTTCATCAGTGTTGCCCATTGAATTGTCCTCTTTGATGATTGTAGTGGTTTGACTCCCCTCTTCCTTGCTCATTTTTTCCTTTTGAGCTTCCTTACTTTGATTGCTCAATCATGCGTTTGGTATAACTACTGGTATTGGAACTAGTACTTGGTTTTGGTTGTTAGTGTTTATCTGCTCTTTGCCTTTTCTCTTTGGGTATACAACTGTTCTCCATGGCTCTTCAGATGCTGATTAGCTTGTACTTTCTTCATTTCTCGTGGTTGCCTGAGATTGTGTCTCACCGTACATTGGTTGTATTTATTCCCTAAGCATCCACATAGGGTGCATAGAGGGCTTGTGTCCTCGTATTGTATCTGCTGGAGGTGGGTTTCCAATAACACTGATATTGGTAGAGTTTTGCCTATTGGGGCCAGGATGCATAGTCTTGCATATCGTCCTCTAGTTTCTTGTGATGTGCAGTTGTCGATTTTTAGTAGTGTTTCCAACATTTGACCGATCCTTTTTAGAATTGTTAAATCATAAAATTCAGTTAGCAGATCTCGCAAAAGTATCCATATTGTGGTTGTGATTGTTTTTGCTTCGTGTGGGTTGAATTTTGGCTCCCAATCCCATTATCGGAGTGATAGGTATTGTGACCCAATGAACCATGGACCCTGTTGTAAGGCCTTGTTGTAGATTCTTATGAGTTAAACTTTTTGAGGTAGAAATCATTACCCAAGTCTATCATATTTAGGGCTTCTGCTGATCTCCATAGCCTATGTATTTTGTCCCTTAGTTGGACATATCCTAGTTGTGTCCCAAAAAGCTTTTTGATGAGAACTTGCTTCCATGATTGATATAGCCTTTCTTTATCTTGTGCTGAAATGGGTATGAAGTTTGGGTGGTTTGCTGGGTTTGTATTTTCGTCTTCAAGTGATATATTATTGAAAGTGTTGCATTCA